ACCCGTATGTGTGTGTGTGTGTGTGTGTGTGTGTGTGTGTGTGTGTGCAGGGGGGTTGTCCATGCTTTCACTCACTATATTTTGTAAAGAGTGTTATAGGTTAAGGAAGTGATAATATGAATTTCAGTTATTTTAATGTTTGAAAACTGTTTGACAGGTTTGAATTTATTGTAGTCTGTCTCCAGTTTACACGGGGTCAGAAATATACTTACAGATTTAAATATGTACAAACTTTCACCAAAATTCTGGCTAAATGTTGCTGCTGGTTCTGTGATGTAAGTCCAAGGCTGGTTAGCTCTTTATTAGTGATCATGATTGACTGCAGCTGGTAGTTACCAACGTGAAAAAGGATTTGTTTGTCAGCACTTGCTTGATTGACCAACACTGATCCATCACCCTTTGAATTAAAAAAATAAGTTTTTCAGGATGAGCCCAGAAACAACCAAGACCCAAGCCTGATATGAGCACCAGTGTTCAGCTGGAGCCAAACTCTGTAAGAAGTGACAAAATTTGCTTTTGCCCATGTTCCTTTTCATGTGAGCATTTCATAATCAATGAGAAACTGCAGCGCAGAACATCTAGGACGCAGTTCTTTTCTCGCCGCAGTGTTGGAATGGATTTTTTTCATGTTTGGGGCTCCACTCTTTTCTTTTCTGTACAATTTGTATGTATTTTTTTACTGCTCCACCTGACTGAGACATACTCGGGCATACCCAGCCAGCACCGCCATAAAAAGCTGCTTGTGTCTCCGCACTGTCTCCTCTATGGACAGTAATTGTGCTGTCTCTTTCCACAAGTTCTTTGTCATTCGACTATCTTTATGTTATGCTGGAACCGTTGTAAAGATGGCTGTATTTTCTAACAGCCTCGACCAGCTGCTTCTAGGTGGAGCATTTGATGCAAAATGTGACCACTGCAATTAACTCGATTTACCACATAAACACGACCACTACAAAGTCCTGAGCGATCACACAATAGCTGACGCATACCCCTGAGAGAAAAAGTTCTACCAGGACCTTGTGTCAGGACTTCACTTCACAACCAGACTTCACTTCACTCTGGCTGCTCTCTGAGAGAAGTGAAGAATGGCTGACCACGCTTAAGATCGTTTGATGTTGTTTTGAACTTAAAGATGCGTATAAACAAAAAATTCCCTGCTCCAAATTTGGCATCTTCAAACCTGACTAAAATTTGAAAAGCCAAATACCTTCTGTAGACATTTTTATATACAAAGTATTTGGTCAGAATTACAAGAAATATGTTTAGAAGAGTCAAAATTTTTCTTCTTCTTTCGGCTTTTCCCTCTTCATGGGTCGCCACAGCGAGTCATCTTTCTCCATCTCACTCCGTCCTAGACTATTCAGTTTCTGGGCCAGCCCTTCTCATCATAGTCTATCTGCCTGAATGTCCAGAACAGGCCATTTGGCAAAGGGAATCATTTTCAACACAATTGGCTGTCAAGACAAAATGTTGAAGTGGGCCAAACTTGGGCATCATAGGTGATGGAGCTGGAGAAAATGTAATGAGGAAGAAGATAAAAAGGCAAAGACAGGCCAAGAAAGAAACACATAGAAGAAATGGAGAGCTAGGAAAGTGGAGTGGGAAGGTCCAATAGAGAGTCTTTCATTGCAATGGATAAGATGCAAAAGGATAGAAAGACACAAATAAGTGTAATAACTAAACTACAAATGAGTCATTGTTTTGGTGGGTCTTGTTTGCAGGATGATTTTATTAGTCCATGATTCTTAAAACCAAAGAAGATGTAGCCTGTGAAACATTTTCTATTCCATATAGATGTGTGCATGGATGAGTAAATGTGAAAGGAAGTCAAACTGAAGCACATACAAAAGAAAACTACCAGTGTTGCACACTATCTTCCCCCACCCATTCTATCATTGCGTGGCCTTTTTTACGCAACCTTCTTCTCTTCTTCTGTTTCTCTGTGACCTGACTACTTTGATGTGCATAAGACTTTGAGGAGAAAAAAAGAACATCAGCTTCTTCTCAAGCCCCAAACAGTAGAGGAAACATTTGAAGAGAGAGGCAAACTTGCCTAATGGTGTGTGGGCGGTGGAAAGCACAGATTGTCACTGGTAAACGTGAAATGCTTTATATTTTGTAATGCGAATGCACGGAAATGAATTGTGGGATTGCATAGCTCATTTTTCAACAAAGCCTCATATTATGATTGAGTCTGACCATAAAAGCTTGGTTGTGTATGTTTTAATGCTCTTTCACTTTAAAACTCTAAAACGTAGAAAATGCTAAGTGGTTTGTGAAAAGAGATGATATTTGAATGTTTCAGCAGCACAGAGCCTGACTGTTTGAATATTTCAGCACCAAGGAGGCAGACATACACAGAGCTGAACAAGCTCTGCCCCAATTCTGAAGTAATTACAAATGATTGTGTTGGTGGTGAATTCACACCGGAAAACAAGGAATGGAAGTTATGTCACAGAATATAACCCATTTTCCAACAGACTCATGAGAGTACAATTTTTGGCTCAAAACAACTTTTATAGATTTGCACAGTTAATTCAAGTATGACATGGGCACATCCAAAGACTATTGTCATAATCATTAGTCTAGGTTGTTGAGAGCTTTGTAGGTCACAATTAAGATTTTGAATTGAATTCTGAATCTGACAGGGAGCTAATGGAGAGAAGCTAAAACTGGTGATGTATGACTTCTACTACTAACGCCAGTTAAGACTTTGGCAGCAGCATTTTGGATTAACTGAAGACCTTTTAAAGAAGTATTTGGACACCCAGATAATAAACCATTGCAATAGTCTGGTCAAGATGTGACAAATGCATGAACCAGTTTTTCTGCATCATTTTTAGATAAGATGTTTCTAATTTTAGTGATATTACAGGTGGAAGAAGGCAGATCTAGTAACGTTTTTAATGCGAGGGATAAAAGACATGTCCTGATCAAAAATAACACCAAGATTTTTAACATTAGAGCTGGAGGCCAGATTAATGCCATCCAAGGAGGGTGAAAGCCTGAAAAATGTATTCCCGAGATGCTCAGGTCCAAAAAAACAAAACCTCAGTCTTGTCTGTATTCAAAAGCAGAAAATTCAGGGTCATCCAGGTTTTTATGTCTTTAAGACATGCTTGTAGTCTAAGTAGCTGATTGGATTCAATAAGTTTCATGGACAAATATAAATGTGTATCAACAGCATAACAATGAAAATTATCCCATGATGTTTAATAATTTTATCTAATGGAAGCATATATAAGGTAAAGAGTATTGGTCCGAGCACTGAACCCTGAACTCCATGACTAACTTTGGTGTATGAAGAAGAATTCAGAAAGAAAGAAGAAAGAAGATTATTTACATTTACAAACTGGAATCTATCAGATAGATACGATATAAACCATTTTAGAGCTGTTCCTGTAATTCCAATATCATATTCAAGTCTTTGTAGTAGAATATTATCAATCAACCTTTATTTATACAGGTAAATCCCATTGAGCCTCGAGGACTCATTTACAAGAGAGACCTGAATTATGATCAACTGTACTGAATACAGCACTGAGGTCTAACAGGACCAGTGTAGATACCAGTCCATTGTCAGAGGCCATGAGAATATCATTAGTAACTTTCATCAATGCTGTTTCTGTGCATCGATGAGCTCTAAACCCTGACTGAAACTCCCCAGATTATTTATTTGTAGATGTTCACGCAACTGACCTGCAACTATTTTCTCTAGAATTTTGAGATGAAGATTAGATTGGATATTCATATAAGTCTATAATAGGGGATTTATAAAGTGCTAGCACAGACTCTGAGTTGTCATAACTTGAAAAAACAGCCAACAGATTAACATTATTTTCTGTTCTGTGCAGAGTGGAACATTAGCTGATTTACAAACTCCACTACAGGAGAACTAAACATTGAATGGCTCTTAATGTACATTTAAGCTATACAGTCTACACAGGTACACAAAGTAAAACCGTTACAAAAGCTATTTGCCCATTCTGCATCAGTCTTTAAAGCAAAGCAAATGGTGTTCATATTACCGTCCTGTCATTCACTCACTCCACTTATTGTGTTGTGAATTCACGAAGGTGACCGGATGATTGGAGACCTCATTTTCTCAGTAGCAGTCCCAGTCGCCCCATGTTTCATTTATGCAGCTTTTATGTCCTCTCTAAGCACAATATATCATATAAAAAGCAGCAACGTGACGGTTGCTGTGAAGATTTATTTTTGAACTTAGGTTTATTCATGCAGTGCATCAGGTGAATGGTTATTTAAAGAGCCCATACAATGCTCTCTTGCAGATTTTCTGAATGTAATTCTAGTGGTCCAATAGGAGTGATTCACTGTACTTAATTTTAAACATTCTGTCATGTTCATGGGTGTTTGTGTTTTGTTTAGATCAATTTTAATAGTTTTTTTGTTGTTGTTGTTGTTTTGGATTTATTTTATTTTATCATGTTACTATTTCTTGTGGTTTTTCTTTCATACTTACTTTTTTATCTTTTAAGATGTATTTTATTGAGTTTCTCGTTGTTTCCATGTGTTACAGCTGATTTTTCTCTTTCATTTGTGTTCTCCTGTTGTCCATTCACACCTGCTTCCCTTTATCTCAATAGGCTCAGCTGTCACCATTCGTCTCATTATTCCCCATTTTCTGAAACTCTTAGTCCTCGTTCACATTTCAGCTTGTCTTTCCATTTGTCTCCTTACCGGTTCCCTCTGTGCCTCTCGAGGTTTTGTTGCCTTCCCCCGTTTTATTTGGCTGCCACATTAGCTATTAA